TGCTGATTCAATTGAACAAGCATGTCGTGATATAATATCTTCATTTTCGGACGTTTGTACAAAAAATATTTTTAATTGATTGCTTAATAATTCAAATTCTCGTTGTAAAAAATTCTCAAGTAATATATGACTTTCATTTGTATGAAGTGTTTCATATGAATTATCATTAAAATCAACTGTAAATATATTCACAACACCATATAAACTTGCTTTTGATAATTGACTGACTGACACATAGATAATTAAAAATGAAACTATAATAGAATAATAAATGATATTAATTTCAAGAAGAGAGAAACACTTACGAATAAAAATAAACGACCATCTGAGACCATTGATAGTTCTAGATGAAAGGATAAATGACATGATATTAATTATAAATATTTATAACCATCGAAGCAGTTAAAACCTTGAATAAGCGCTGTAAAAATCGAATTTTTAAGCATTTAAATGCATGTGAAGAAAAAAAAAGAATGTTTTATTAACTAGATAAACTGACATGTTAGATCATTTCAATACACAATATTTTTGGGTATTATTTACCTGCAGTCAACATTTTTATTTTGAGATTTTCAAACTAACGTACTTTCTAAATTACTGAAAATTTTCAATAGACGTATATTTATATATAGGAAAAATTATGATTAATTAATTAGTTCATGTGTAGATTTTTTCTTTACTTAAAGTAAGTCAGTAATTTTTATACTATTGTGTAACGTGCAATTCAACTATTTTAATAAAGGATGTCATTAAAATGTGTCGTTGCATGTTTCATTATTGTCTTTTTAATAACGACATGTACTAGATGTATAATTCATTATATATAATCTTACTTAAAGTAACATCTTTTCAGAGCTACGAGCACGGAAATTTTCATATGTGTGAAATAGTGAAAATGTATTACTTAATCTTAGATTTATGTTCATGGTCATCGGTGATATAAAATAAGAGATTAGATTCTCATGCTTGAGTTTAAGCTTCTTTTGTCTTATTAAGATGACGCCTCTGTTAATACAATGAAGATTAACTTTTTTCCTAATGAGAATAAAAAGATCTCACGAGTGTGAAATTTGATAATTTTTGTTGCTTATTTCATCATCTACATATTCCTATAATCTTTTCGCTTCATGTTACAAATTTACCTGATTCATTATTCTACACTGATACGCTTTCTACTTTCTATCTTATAGAACATCTTTTATTTTGAAAAAAAGTAGATAGATGTGAACTCATCTAAGCAGACAAAATAGGATAGTATATAATTGATGTAGAAAGTAAGAAGAGTCATATAAAAATATTGCTATTCGTTTTGATGTTTTGATGTTTTATCATTTCATCAAAGTCAAATTTTCAAGTAAATAACTAGATCAGAACATCGTGACATTCATAGTCTGGTACGCATGTGATTAGACCCATAGGCAGACAGTTAGTAAAGGAAATATGTAAGCGAGGAACTAAATAGAGATAATCAGATAAATAGAAAACTAGTTCGATAATAATCTAAACATGTATATAGTTAATAGAAAAAGTATTTCCATTAGTAATATGATGATCTAAAACTTTTCTTGAAACATTGCGATATATGACCTTTAAAAAGACTTTCATTATTTTGCTACTGCTTGAAATCAATATCAGATATAAATAGAAAATCTCAAGTATGAATAAACTTTATGTCTTTTGTATGTTAATCGCGTTTTCTGATTGTCAATCATACATATACAACACACGTTTACAAGCAATCTATTACTATCCTGATAAGATAAGAAATATATCGAGTAAAAGTTAGACACATTATTATGCTAATTATGATGTGTCATAACAATGTTTTCTTTATTTCAGAAGACGCTCAAAACTTTTCTAGTATTTAAACGCGTCTATTTCGGAAGAATGTTTTTTTTTCCTATGAAAATATCTACTAGTATCATCACAGACCGGATATGATTTGTATTTCTAATATTCTATCATGTTATCTAGACTATGTATAAATATTAGTTTATTTTCTTGGCAAATATTAAACGATGAAGTACTTTAGTAAGTAGATAAGAATGAGTCAAATCAGATGAATAATCGATTAGAATTGCATAAGTAATGTATGTTTAAAGTCAATATAAATCGTACGCCTTTTATGATTAATACATTAAAAAAACGGAATAAATAAAATATATATATATATATAATTGTTATTTTTTTGATTAAGTAAATAAATTTTCAAAGTTCAAAAAGATAAAGCTGATATATACAAAAAGAAAACTAGTTCAGTTGTTTTTTCATCGTGTTACATACTTGAATTTGAGTATGAACATAGTTGCTTTTTGTTATAGATATTTATTTAACTGATACAATCTAGAATATCTAAAAGAGTTAAGAAAAGAAGGGCAGCATTTTGATCAATAAAGGAAACATTTGACGTTTGCATTTAAAGGTATAGAATACAAGCAGCAGCAGCAGCTGTTGCCATATATAAGGGACAAATGAAGAAGAAAAAAAAGAGATGAGAAAAAGCGAAAGTATTTCCGTTTCTTTTTTTTTTGGAGGTTATAAAGTAACAATATTGTCATAAATATAACAGGATAAAAAGCATTTTATTTATTCAATGACTAATCTATTCAAATGGATATTTTTTTAATTCTTTTGATCCAATAAATTTCATTGAATATTCTGTTCTTACCTTATAATGTAAGTTACTATAGTGTATGTATGATGTTCTCGTTAAGATTAACATTTCATGCATTCTACTACTCGTTTAGAATTTGTAGTTATATGAGAAAAAGACTAGATAGAGAGTACAAAAATTACTTTTTTCTTCTTCTTCTTGTTTCTGTGTCTTCATTTCTTTAGTTCTTTAGCCACCGCTTCTATTATAATACAGCTAACGACTATTCTTCTCTAAACGTTAGGTCGCATATGTTTCTACCATATACGATATAGAAATACAAACTTATAGAACAGCAATACCCTCATATAAAATGAGACAACATGGAGCAATATTGTTATCGGTAAAAAGAGAAAAAAAGGAGAGAAAAAAGAATTATCGAAATACAAAAAGAAAAATAAGACCCAATATAAACCATATAATTTAAACTATATTAACATATTATTGTGATAAAAACTCAAAACATAATCTTCATATATAACAAAATTTATAAATTTGTTTAATTTTATAATTTGTTCAAAATAAAGGAGAACTAATCAGTTTTAATCAAAAACACAATCATACATCATTTGATTTATATTATATTCGTAAATACTTTTTTATTTTTTTTATCACGGCTAAATCAATATTATTAAATTACACACTCTAATTCTAACGAAAATCAATGTATGTCCTTTCATTTAACTATTAGGTTTCTGTTTTTATTACCAAGATCACGTGATTGTTTTGTAACAGTAATAGCAAAAACTGAAATATGTATATTTGATAATAATATTAGAAAAGATCTTTTCAAATCATTGATTTCATACTGGAAGAGAGACAATGATCATTTTATTTAGAAGATGTTATAAGCAAACGAGTAGGTTTTTTTTCAATATTATAAAACATAAATTCGACATTTGTGAACCTTGATCGATAATATTTACATAAAGTACCTGAAACATCACTAATATGATGTATTTTGGTCTTATTGATATTGACAAGAAAAGTTTCTTTTTATTCAACTGTCATATTTTATTATTCAATTGAATCAGAAGGTCAGAGTTATTCATTCCTATTATTAGGATAAATATTCAAGTTTAGAAAATATCAGGCCTTCTTGCTTTTACCAATCTATTTGGAATATATAATGCAATTAAGAAAAAGGTGGCTGATCAGATAAATACAGTATGACTAATTAAAGATTTTATTTTCGATGTAATTTCGATTTTTTTTCATAAATACTTAATGATAAATCAAATACATCATAATAGCAGCTTTTCCTTATGGGTCGAAAATAGAAAAATTAATTTTTAGATAATCAAGATATTTCATACGACCTAAAAGATTTGAATAAGATAATAAAAACTATAAATGGACTTGATACGATCTTCTTATTTTTCTCTAGAAAATATAACTAAATTCTACTCTATTCAGCGTTTTATTTTTGCGGGCTTTCATAGATTTGATGCAATTAGTCGAAATATATCTAATACCTTTTTCTATTACATCAAAAATGCACACAGATAAATATAAGCTTCTTTTCGTTTTATTATTTTTTTTTCTGTCTGGGTGTTTTCTCATATTTTGACGTATCAAACATCATTTCATATACAATTATATAATATAGGTTCGAAGGTTGAATAAAAAAAATACATTTACATCATATAATGCACTCGGATACGGTTGACTTGTGTTATATTCATATGCCGGCCGTTTGATTAAAATTTGTCTTCCTAATAAAATACTGTTTTCACCTGATCGATCTTATAATTGTCATCACACCGCATCTATATATATATGCATAAAAACAAAGCTTGTTTTTTACCTTCATTCACTCATTCATCTATTCATTTATTACACTCGACGTGTTATTACCAATATGTACGGTACAGGTATGAATCCATACGTGCTTAACCACTTCTTTAGAGTTGCAAGAGAGATGAACAATTATGTTGCTAATTCATCTTATAATTATTATCAAAGTTCATATTTTCCGACTTTTCGTGATCGAAGATATACTTTCTTTATGACTCAAAGACCTACAATAATGAATGCTGGACTTAGTGGACTCCTTGCTTATGGTTTACAATCAATTGGAATGCCACAAACGGTGGTAAATCTTGGTTATCGCTTTGGTTATTTTATAGATGCAAATGTTTAATTTATTTACTTATCTTTATTAAGATATTATTTAAGTCAGTTTTACGTGTATGTGATTTTTTTTTGTTTTAAATCAATTATTCAAATAAGGATTGCCTATATCAACAACATTTATGAATACAAACATTAATACAGGATGAGAAAAAAAAACACGAAGAGACACAAAAAAAAAGTTAAGGTTTTTGTTTTTCGACATGGTTATTGACTAGAAAGCAAAGCGTGTTCGAATATCTTCAAGTTTTTTGGCAACTTCACTAGCTGTTCTATCAAGACCTTCGGCAATCATTTTTTGTTTGGCTATATCAAGATGATTGTATTGTTCACAAAGATCACCATCAAGAACATTCTAAATGATTATAAAAAAAAGAAAAGATATATTTTTTTAAAAATGTTATTTTCTTTTTTTTTTTGTATGATGATCTTTTTTTTTAAATTAGGTTAATAAAGTAGAATAATAGCGGCCATCTATTCATTAGTAATTTATTTTTCTCTTTTATTACTGAAATAATTTATCTCCAGGTAAAAATGAATGCGACACCGTTATTGTACTTCTATTTTCTTTCGCTCCTGACTTTTTTCCTTCTAATTATTTTATCTAAGTACCTTTCTCGTTATATGTGTACTTCGAAAGTACGTGATTAGTTTGCCCTTCTATCATGCATGCATCACACCTGTATGGTGTGATCTACCCTTTGTACACTCTCATATTCGTCCTTACATTTCGTACTTTTTTTGTTACTATGTTGACTATCGTTCGTTATAATATAGAAGGAAAGATAATGAGAAAATTTGGGCGTGGTTCTTTATATTTGAAATAAACATATACATATACTCTAACTCATAAGTAGTGTCCATTATATCAAAAATCGGTATAATTACCTTAACTGGATAATAATACGATCGAAAAGCCAAATGATCTCTGCCAAGTAATGTTTGATGTTCAGCTCGCATATGCATTTCCAGATGTTGAAAAAAGTCATAATCCTATTCGAAGAAAAAAAAAAAGTTCAACATTATTCATATATCATTTTTATGAAAAAAAAAGAAAAATATTTAATGTGTGATCAGATACTAGTAAGAAAAGTTATCGTCATTCTTTATCCGAATTGTAAACGACTATTTTTGATCATCATTTCACACATAACTTTATCTTGTAACTCATAGGGACAGAAAAGGTATCATATATGCATGAATGGAGCAAAACATGACCTTTGAGAGACTCGAACCTGCACCTTCTGCTATCCGGGTAGTTGTTCTAAACCAGTTAGACTAGAAGTATTATCTAAACCTCTGTTTAGCATCGGCATGTCTCATCACCGACACTAGAATATCTCTCTTTTGGTTTTTACCTCATTTGATGCAAATGGTATAAGTACACCTATTGAACCTGATAACGTCGTATAAACAAGAGATTCAGATCCACCTGAAATTAACATAGCACGTTGAACGGATGTAACCATTTCTCCCACATGAAAATGAGCAAGTAATTCACATTTATTGGATGCGCCATTCAATAAACCACGATCCCATAAACCTTTACTTCCAGTTGGATCAATTTCAATATCATCATTAGCATCCACAGGAATACGTAAAATAGCAATATTACCAAATTTATCGGTTAAACATACAGTACTATAATCTAATAAACAGCAAGCAACAGTAAAACGTGGACATGTATCATCAGCAAATGTAACCAATTGATTTTCCATTTGTTTATAACGAAGAATATGTATACTTTCTTGAACATCAGTTACGAATATCCGATTACCCAATGCTTGTATTGTAACAATTTGATTAGGAATATTCTAAATATCAAAAACAGAATTTGTATTAGAAGGAAAAAAGCCGCATAAGAGTATTTGTAATTAGAAAATTTCGATAGAGATATTGTAAATCTATTAAATAGAATATCATGTAAATGATTTATACACGTTAGAACGTATGAAAAACATTTAACGAGCTGAAATCAGTTCTATTACTTTTCTTCTGTACGATTTTAATATTTCATCTTAAAATAAAAATATTAAATTTCGTTAGACAGAAGATTCTGTTAAATAAAATATCATGTAAATAATTTATACACGTTAAAATGTACAAAAACATTTAACGAGCTAAAATCAGTTCGATTGATTTTCTTCTAATATGATTTCAATATTTTATTTCAAATAAAAATATTAAATTTCTTTATACAGAAGATTCTATCAAGTAGAATATCATGTAAATGATTTATACACGTTAAAATGTATGGAAACATTTAACGAGCTAAAATCAGTTCTATTAATTTTCTTCTATATGATTTCAATATTTTATTTTAGAATAAAAATATTAAATTTCTTTATACAGAAGATTCTATTAAAAGAGAAACAAAATTCTTTGTACATACTTTATTTTCACATTTTTTAAGTAATTTCTTCTTTCCAATTTCATAAATACGTAAACTTGATCCAACACCAATTAAAGCTCGTCCAAGAAATGGATAAATTGCCGTTGGAACTTCATCAACTACCGTTCTATGAATAAAATGTAGTCTTTCACCATTATCTAATACAAGAAAACAATAAATCATTCCACCAAGATGTGAACGTGGTGAAAGAACAAGATCTCGTGCAACACCAACTAATAAGAATGTATCAGCAGGACGAGTATCAAAACGCATTAAACTTAAACAAACAGCTGATTCATTTTGTTCAAATTCATAAATAAATTTTGTTTCACCACTAATTGGATCCATAACACGTAATTGTGCTGCCCACATACCATTTGCTGCTTTTGCTGCACCAAATGCTTCTTCAGGAATTTTTTCTGCTAACATTGCATTAGCTACTTCTCTAGTTGCTTCTTTATCTTCATCATCAGCTGCATCAACCATATCTTTACCTATTTGTTCACGTTTTTGTTGTTTACTTATTTCTGTATAAGATAAATGATCGGATTCAATTAAATAAAGCCAATTCATTTCTGGATATATGATAAAACGACGTGGTGTTAATTTAAGTTTACGAATTTCTTGATTGAATATAGCACCAAGTTTTTCTAATGTTAAAATTCTTTAAAAAGAAAAAAATAATAATATTTATGAAAATTTAATATTTTTATATTATATAACTTACCGAAGAGTATTACCAGCTATAGCAACAATACCTTCAGGACATTGTTCTGATGCAAAACCAGATGCATGTTCAAGAGATTCATAAGATAAAGGTGTTAAATGAAAACGACCTTGATATGTATAACTAAGCCATGTACGACTTGACATAGCTAAAACAGCTTCATTTCCTTGCATTAAAATTCGAAATAATTTCACTGGTTTTGAACCAATATATCTTGTACGAGTATCGGACATATCACCTGTAACTGAATCCAAAACACTTCTTAGAAGTACACCATTCTGTAAGCCAATATTTAAAAATGCAGTTGTACTTGGTCCAACTTGTTGTTCACGTCCACTTGTTGTATCAACTACAACACCACCTTCAGTTGTTTTCATTTCAACTATACATAATGATTCAGCTGGAGCTGGTAATGCTTGCATACTTAATCGACTTAAACAATCTTGAGGATCAAGTGATATAATTCGAACAGTACTATCGGAAAGGCCAACAGCAAGAAAACGTGATCGTTGTTCACCATCTGGTACTGAACCTAAAGCCATACATATAATATCACCAGGCATTTCTTTTCTTTCAGTATATTCATTCAATTGACCGGTTGTATCCATTTCAAAATAAACAAGTTCACCACCAGTTAAACCAATAACAACTTGTCGTTGATTAACAGCTGCTCTTGTAATCATTTTTTTTTCCTGGTGCACGCCATTCATTAACACGTTTGTCAGCACGAATATGTCGAATACCTTCTTGATATATTTGAAGTAATGAATCATCACCTAATTGACTACATGATAATGTGGGTGTTGTACCAAGAAAACCCGAATCTGTAACTTCTTCAACAGTTTCACCAATAGATAAGACTAAAGTTGCATTAATAAATGAAACAACAATATATGCATCAAATGGATCATCAGCTCGTTTTTTAACAGTCCATACTGCATTTGGACTACCGGGTAATTCTGAAACAGCCATTTCCGTTACTTCTAAACCATGACGAAGTATACGAAGTGTTGATCGAGGTCCACGACCACATGTTACATAAAGTTGTGGTGTATCTTCATTAGCAAGATCAGCAATATGACAACCAGTTATTGGTGATAAACTATCCATTTCATCGACTAATATTAAATTTTTTAATTTACGTGGTACAAAAAAAAATGTATCTTCTTCTTCAAGTCTTTCCGATGAACTAAATTCAGGTTCATCATCAGCATCACCTAATTGAGTAATTTGATACAAATAACTATTGATAATAAACATAAATTTAATTTACAAAAGTAATCGAATTTTATTTTTTAAATACTTACTGATTACCAAATTCAGAAGCTATAAAAAGAAAACCAGTACGAAGTACGCACATGGCCGAAGCAACAGGTACAGTATCGAAGTATTTTAAACGAATTTCGGTGACCTAAAAGATAATGACAGATTTCTTAAAGATTAAAAAAATTATCAAAAATCTCAGTGAACTATGATATTAATTTTCATCTAAGATCATTTGTTACAATATAAGCAGAATCAGACGTGAACATTGGGTATTATAATCAACTTATTCATATGGCAACACGTTCAATATGAAAATCATCCTATTCTGCATTATTTCGTCTCTTATTCTTCTTTACTATTATGTCAACATTTTATTTGAATGTTTTCTTACCATTCCCATATCTGCATCATGAGTAAGTGTAATTTTAAATATATCACCTTGTTCAGTTTGAACAAGAAAAAAGAACATATTTTTTGTTTTATGTGTGGCTGTTGCAACAATAATCATTGTTCGTTCTCGATCATCAATTTCATTTCGACGTCTTGGTATTGGACAACGAATATCTGGTTGATCACCAAAATTTTTGAATGTAATATAATTTTCTGAACAAACTAATACACCACTTGGTCCTTCAGTTCCACCAGGTACAGTAATAAGTAAATTAGCAAATTTTTCTAATGGTTCAGAATATTTTCTAACAACATGATTAAGACCTAAATCAAGTTCATAAAATGTTAATGATTGTTTAATATCATGTGCTGCTTGACCAGTATGATCATTATCAGTTTCCTGAAAAGAGAATTTTTTATGAGAAAAAGAAATGAGAGAACATAATTATAATATACAAACCTCATAATCAACTTCTAAACAAGCAAATACTGGATTTTCAAATCCAACATCAACACCAACTGTATAAAATGTGATTGTATTAGCTTTATGAGCTTCTAATGGTGATGATATTGTTAAACGTGCTTGTGAATCACGATTAAGTATGTAAACTAATTTTTGTTTTTCAATTGCTCCAATAAGTACCGCTCGTCCTTTTGGATCAATAGCTAAATATTGTCCAGGTACAATTCTTCTACAGCCTGATTTACCGAATGTTTCTTGATGTACCTAACTGAAGAAAAGTCTCTTAAAAATATTTACACAAATAAACGTTGCTTGCCTTTTCTAATATATTTTTTTGTCCATTATATTCAAGAATAAGTATTCGACCGGAATCACTACCAACAACAATATAATCTCGATTACTACCAGTTAATCGAATAGGATGAAGTGTACGTACTGTACCAAACGCATTGCATGTTAATAATGTATGGATTTTACCTGTGCTTGGATCAGGTTTAAGAACTTCAAGAACACAACCACGTGAAACAATGATTTCTTGTTGTTTTGGGCCAGAAAAATTTCCATGTATGACATGAGTTATACCACCGGGACGTTGTAAAGTTAAATTATATAACTTCATCTAGACAAGAAATTTCACTTATAAAATTGAGAAAGTTTATGCAAACAGACGAAACAAAAGGTGAAATGAACGAATAGGATACAATTATTTTGATTGGTGTGAGGGATATTTTCCTCTATCTAATTGAGCTAATTGAGTAAAAATTCATTTCAATAAATTAATTAAAATATTTTCTTTTTAATTATTATTTTTTATACGTGAAATTCTAATAATAAATTTTTCTTATCATAGATGGCGTTAACAGAAGAGAAAGATATTATATGATATGAATATATATATGCACTTGAAAATATATCAGTGCAAAGGATTGAAATTACTTAAAGATCAGCTGGTTAGTTTGACGAACAATATCCCTTCGTGATTGTTTCGGGGTCTATCTGGACCCACCCATGAAAGTTCATCAAGAGCACTGTAAGAGAGATCCGTAGTACAAATAAGGATTGAGCAGAGTCTTTTGAAAATGACAGATTTCAGGCTCTTTTTACTAAATGTGAGTCACTATTATAAGTAGCAAAGATAAAAAACCAATTGAAACAAATCGTTTGAAAGGAAACAATACTGCGAGAGAATACATGTGAGGATCGATCGGAAACTCTTAAGAGAGAATTAAGTCAAAAGCTGCGAAGTGGGCCTTCTTGGATCTCACATCATCAACAGAGGGATATATAAGAGGAAAATTTCTCAAATTTTATCAAATACTGAAATAGTTTTGTTGATAGTCATGCGTACTTCCATATTTATCATAACGTTGCCAAATATATTTTTTATCAACAACTGAATTAAGATGGCTTTGATAGGATTATATTAATAACATGTTCTGTTCATTAAGGAAAGTTTGTTTTAATCGATCATTGCAGAGTTCTTCAGTTAGTATTTGCATATATTATTTAGGCGATATACTGTTCGAACTCATACAAATAATATACTATATTGAAATAAGACTTTCTAGGAGTGAAAATATTTACGATACTTCGGTCCACAAATCAAAGACAATATTTGTTCTACTTATTTTATGTGACTAGAATTTTTATTCTTCACATAAATACAATCTTGTATCATTTCAACTTTTTTTCTTCAATTACCTGGTTTATTTTTAATCTTTATTCCAACTTGTTGATCATTCTAATCTTGAATTGAGACAGTGAACATTTTTCTTTTTTGAAGATATAATCAATTATTAATATAAAAACCGGATCAAATATAATTATATCGATTTTTCCTGTCAATTTCAATCTAAGAAGGAGAAAAAGATCACTTCCGGGTGAACGCCTTTTGACAATTGTTTAACTCATTCAATTGAAATAGCAGCTGCCATATTGTTAACATATATATATATAGATAGATAGATTTTTATTTCTTATATGACAAAACAAAAAAAAAAGAAGAAAAAAAAAGTGGGGGTAAAAGAGGTCCGCCAAGTAAATTTTTTGAGAATACTTCATTTGCTTTATAAAAGCAAACCTCTAATTTAGTCAAAATAAAAATAATAATGTTTTAGTTTTTCTTCTATTACTGTGGATATGATGAATATTGATTTGATACTTGCGTTGAATTAATATTAAACGCAGGTGTCGTTGTAGCTGCTGTTGCTG